TATATATTTATATATATATAATATGCATATGAATGTGCATATACAGTATGCATGTGACGGACCACAGCCCTGCTTACAAATCAGACTCTAAGAGATATGTCTCATAATACTGCACATAACAACAGTATTGATACTTACCCATAAACTAATGCTTAAGTGTTTGTGTTTGTCATCACTTCACAAAGTTATGGCCAACAATGGCTCCTTTTACCATAGTTTTAGTCTCCACTACCTCCTGAGAAAAAACATCTGGGTCTTAAGCTTGCAAGATATTTGCAGTTGGCTTTTTTGTCGGATAAGAAGACCAAGAGTCCACAACCATGCTAGCACCTCTCTGAGGCTGCGCTTCAGCACAATGGTGCTTTGAGCAATATGCTAAGCATGACAACATACTAAAGACTTCATCCTCTGACTTTTTGCATGCAATTTCTTGGCATTCCATCCAATAATTGTTGAGATATTTCAGAATGGATTAAAGTGGTGTACCGACCCATCAATTGACAAAGCAGTATTGCCATCAATGGATCATTGCAACCGGGAGACAATTATTTTAACTCACAGGAAGTAACAAAGGTTTACTTAAGTTTTTGGTTTACTGCTAAATGTTTTTATTGTGTTCTCTACCACTAAGAAGACAGGATCGAGCAGTGCCCATAATCTATATATAAAGATCAGTGCAAAGGTGTCAACGTGGTGCAGTGACAAAGCTTTGTCTAATCAATGAACTGCAAATGCAATTAAATGCCTCTATCAGCATAACTTTGAGCAATATTTCTTAAACCTGCTCAGTAATCACTATAATATCATGGTATTACCATAGGAGTGCCATGAATGAATATTTTATAAGGACCCAAAAAACAGGTAGTCAGAAAAACTGATATGTTCTGGGACCACTAGCCAAGACAGATAACTCAATCCGTGGAATTCTGATCTAGTAGGCATTTAGACGAGACCTCAGACACATGGCTGACCTCATGACATTGCAGCATATCTGAGACTGCTTCATACATATGTTGTCTTGCTGTTTCTATTCATAGAACAACCAGAACTTGATCTCTTCCTTGATCTCCATGCTGTAAAGCTGATATCCAGAGAGTCTCAATATACTGAATATAAGCTGTTGCTATGGATATTAACTCATAGAAATAATGGATGCTTTCCTTTTTCCCATCATGTATTTTAAATTAATTATGATAGATTGAGGTGAGTCATGTCTTCCAGCAGCTGCATCCGTCCATATGCTCGGTGACACTATGTTGTGTGATGCTTACAACATGCATCAAGGTTTCCCATGTACCATCAGTGTTCATAATGCATGACCCAAATTAGGCGAGTTCCAGTAAATCAAAGTGAATATTTAACAAACTGCCACATCATAAATATGTCATATTTTATAAATGACTGATTCAAGAACTAACTATATCTGAGCAAGTAAGCCATTAATGTGAGAATTTATATGCAAAGTACCAACTTTCCTCTCTGTTCGCTCACTACTGAAACCTTAACTGCTGAGGCTCCAGTCGGCTCCAGTGAGAGGATCAGGTTAATGTGTCATCGGGAGAATACTACAAGATGAAACCCACCACCTACGCTGACATTTTGCTCCAGTATTGGCGGGCCAATATTAGAGTAATTGTCGCTATAATGTAGTAATAGAAGCCATAAATAAAAACAAAGACAAGCTGTAAATGCTTGGGTTTTGTCCATGAAGGCTCTTTGACCATTCAATTTAGTGTTACTGGAAAAAAAGCTCCTGAAAAGTAAAATGTTAGCAGCATGTGTACGTGTCTAAGGCGGTGTTGCAATCTGAGCAAGTCATGTAAATTCTGACCCCAGAGGTCACTGGCCATTTAGGCTGGAAAAAGCTGTCCATCAAAATCCCAGAACAGACGGAAGCTTTGTACCCTTGCAAGGAAGTAGGTGCACACAAAACTTTCAATATCAGATGGATTGACTTGTAGATTCGAAATTTCATCCACAGCTACAGTTTTGATTGAAATACCTATAACTTGGCGGGCTGGTGTGTTTTTCTTGTCAGGACGGAAAAGCTTCTCAAGCACACTGCATTGGATCAGTGGCCTCTGACAGAACAAGTTGCCAAACGCTCGCATGCAAAGAACAATTCCCACTCCTTATTAAGTCACATTGGGTTTGTGGTGTGAATTTATCAAACTCACTGAAGGTATTTTTCCTATAACATGTTTTTGCATTATTTGCAGCTGCTTTTCTCATCACTCATCTCTGGCAAATGAATTTGGCCACATGTCAGACTTGACTAACCAGACCTTTCGCCTTCTGTACTTTTGCTATGTGTGAATATCGATGATGAGCATAATGTTTAATTGCCAAAATTATAGCCTGATATTTCAGAAGATAAAGTGTGTAGAAAGAGAAATAACAAAGGTGTTACAGCTGTAGGGCATCATGCTAGCAGTTTGCAATTCTGCTAATCTAGCTCATGCTAATGTTTTTGCTATTTTACAGCTCTGTTGAAATATGTACACATGAAATTCGACCTATATCCACAAATTACCCATTGTAGCATTTAAGTGTCACAAAAGCCACTTCAGTACTTAAGTAACATTTATATATCAGTTCATCTTCTGTTGATTAACCAATTAATCACTTGAGATGTCAAAAAGTTAACAATAAAAAAGCAGCAAATCTGCTGAAACCAACTGAAATATTTTAATTTGTAAACAGAATATTCATCACTGACAATGTGTGGCAGCTACTGCAGAGCACTGTATTCTTCCTAGTGTTCGAAATGCGTGGGGTAAATGGAATTTCAGACCAAAGATAAGTCATTTAGTGAACATCAGTGGCGTTCACTAACCTGCTGACCACTGACAACATTTTACAGGTCCTTTTTTCACTTTGGAATGGAGGCATGTGTTCCGTTTGGGCCTATAAATACTCATCTATGTGACAGCTGGACTAGCCCAAACCATGGGATGGATTTGGGACACCGCTTTAAATTTAGGCTCAGGCCTTGACTGGTGCCTCGCCGGGTATCGGGCCACCCTTTCATATAAGAAGGCACTATGGAATTGGATGCCAGGCAATCAGTATCATTGTGCCGCTGGTTTAGATGCCATGAATGTATGTGGGCATTGTGGCGGGTTGGCGCAGACCTCAGAGTAAAGGCTTATTCCTGCCTGCTCTCCTTTATTTTCCATAGAGACAACTGGGAATGTTGCATGTCAGACTGGAATGCAGGGCACGTGCCTTTGGAATCCCCATTTGTTGCTCTGGAGAATTCACTACAATCAAGACTGCAGTGACTGGTCAAGGTGGATCAAACAGTGAAGACATCCATGACTTAACTGTCCTGTCATCAATAGGGCTGGCAAAATTGAAGTGACTAGTACTATCTCTTAAAGCTGTCAAGGAAATGTTTTGAATGTGTAACATCGGAAAGTTAGACTTGTATAATTGAGATCTTTTAATGAAACTTAAAGCTGCTATAATCAATATTGTTTATGTGATCAATGGATAAGATGTGAAAGGTGTTGCTCATCGTAACGAGCCTGCCTCTAAGTGGCCAAAAAATCAATTAAGGCAGCTTAAAGTAAACTACATGTCTTAGAGGTTCAGATGTAGTCCAATCACCACAGGAAGCCCAACATTGAGAGAAATGTGTTTATTATTATTAGTCACAGATGTTCCCTCTGCAATAAGTCAACAACACTAATTGTGTGTTGAAGTGTGCGGTTTGAGGGAGGCAAAGTACTTTGCGAATATTTTTTGTGGGAATCCTCTTCACTTTACTGACCTTTAATACACTGTTATTAGTCCGCTTAATAATACATTTAGATGGTGAGTTCCTTTACATTTATTGAATTGCAATTTAACAATAACTGTTTACATTCAATTAAGCGCTCCTCTATAACTGCACTGCACTCTCCTGCTTGCTCAGTTGAACTGCAGTGACACCTTAAAACGACGCAAGCGGTTATAGCTTCTCTGCATTTTCATGGCATCAGCCCAGAAATGAAAAATAAACCTTGCATTGCCTGACTAAGTGTCAACCTCTTGGTCGCCGGTAATCTGGAACTCTGCCCGAGTAATTGACAGCGCTGCACAGGTTTCCATGTTTTATCACGGCCATGCTCCAGTGTTGCCAGTTTTAATGCCCTCCACCCACTGGGCTTTTCTCTGGTCATAACTCTCTGGCACTGCTTGAATGGTGGGATGAGCACTGTAAGCACTGGTGTACGCTGCTGTGCTACCACATTTGACTCAATGATAGTGAGCCCACAGCTGAAACTAATAGTTATCGGACATGAAAGAAGGCACTGCAATTAATCTCCAGTAAATAACCAGCTCTCATTGGAGCCAATGTGCACTCACTGAACTCTCAGAGCTAAGATAAGATGCATTTGGTGTTATCTTGCATGCTTCCCTCTCATGTGCTCTGGTCTTTTTTCCTGGAAACAGAACAGATTGGTTTCAAGCATCATTAGAATTAACTGCAGACTTCTTAACTTTGATGACCACTAGATAAACAGTTTTCTTGATGTGAACCGAAACCTTAGATAGACTCGCTTTCAAACCCTTCGAATGACTCTTCTATATATCACCTTGTTTTAATCTAGTTTGACTGATTCAAATACTCATTGATGTTTTGGGCACTTTTGTGTACGTATATACATTGTACCAATATATATATGCATGCACAGTTGCTATGTTTTGTGTATGCCATTGCATGCCTATATTCCCGTGCTAAAGAGAGAATGACATTTTGGTGAGCTACCTCGAGATATCTTAATGCATGATTCAGAGGTCAGGGTGCTATGACATCACCAGCGTTCTGCGATGGGGATTTTGGAGGCTGGGTTTTGTTGTCTGTTTGTAATTAAAAAGCGCTGTTGATGTCAAATCTGAAATCAATCACAAAGTGCACTTGCTCAATGTCTCAAGGCTGTTGGTAGAGAGCTTTAGCACACAAATGCACGCACACACAAAAACACATTCACAGGGCAAATATCCTCGTGACCTACAGTGCGTCTTTGTCCATTTATTGCGGTGATTCTCAACCAGTGGTACTTGTTCAGCTAATCAAAAATATGTCCACACATTTATGAAAATAAACAAGCAAAAGGATTACAAACGGATGTGACGCTGATCTTCAGTAAATCCATCGTCACAATAAACAGCTGCTAGCAATGAAAAGCCGCAAAAACTTGTACATGTAACAGTGTTTAATAACATCCACTTGAAATAATTTCAAATGGGGGAACTTAAGCTCCTGAAAGGGCTGTGGGGGTACATCTGACAAAAAAGGTTGGGACCTACTGAAATAGTGCACTCTGTGAGCAAACAAAACGTGTCCTAACTCCTCAATGTTATTCTCCATAGCTCACTGTAGCATGCTAAAGGCCACATCAACATGACTTGTGTCGTTATAAATGATTAATGTATTAAAATTAAATTTAAAAGTCTGTCATCGCCAGATTTATTTTCAGGATCTGGATAAAATGTTTGTCTCAGACTTCGAATGTCAGCAGGGAAGGTTAAGACACCCAGGAGTGCCACAAATGTGCTTCCACACCATCAACACTGAGACACATAAGCCTTATGAGAGAACAGGACGTGTCAGGAATGCACGCACCGCCATACAACACAAAGACACACACAGTGCTGGGTAATTGTGGATATTTATCCACTTATCCATTTTATGTTACATCTGAAAAAGTCATCTAGTTGTAATCCTGTGTATACATGTTTATGTGAGTGTACATGTGTCATTCATTGGATAAAAGTGAGTTAGTAGTCAGGGCCAAAGTCATAAAACGCACTTTAAATTGTGACCATTCACTAACACCATCTGAAGTATCAATTGAAACAAAAATGACAAAAAATGGGTTTAAAAGAGATGAATAGCACGAAGGGGAAAGTAACAAATTGTGCCATAAAACAACAAAACAACAACAGTGCTATTTGCTATAAAACAATAATAAAAAATCATGTTTCTTCTGTTATTGGTGCAGGTAGAATATGAGGTCCAAAAGCAGCGGGGTAGAGAGCCCGGCCAATGGGGTGCTTGGGGTTCCACAGGGTGACCATGACATCAGCCAAGAACAGGAAGAGGGTCTGCCCATTAAGAGCCTGAAGGCCAAAGCTCAGCAGAAGGAGGGTGAGGATAATTTGCAGGTGGGGGTGATCTCTAACAAAGAGAAGCTACTGATTGATTCCCCCGAGGATGGAGAGAAGAGAGGGGACATCATGGATCTGTCCAACAAGGATCTGCTAAAACTGCTGGGGATCATGGAAGGAGAGATTCAGGTGGGTCGGGTGTTCTCTTTGACCTGCTATAATGTGCAATACTGACGGAGAGAAAACAGATCCATGAAAGGCATTGTGGATGAACACAAGACCGGTGCACATGCGTTCATTGGATGGAGTTTGACTGCAATTTTATGCACAATAGCTCTATCTTGTGGTTCAAAATGGCAGTTGAAACATGCCAGAGAACATATGCAAATATGCCGTGTTTAAAAGGGCCTATTTTGGAGAAATCTGGAATCCATGAAACAAATGCTACAGGGGTTCAAACACTTTTGGATGCCTTGAATTGCATGCAGAGTATCCAGAGACATTTGGGGAAAATGCCACATTCACAAGACGTTTGAGGCCATTTTTTCCACACATCATTTCTCTTATTTGCATGTCTGGGACAAAGCAATCTGTGTCTCTTCAAACAGGTGTCCCAATGGAGAGAATACACAATTCTCTTTCTTTCTCCTCAAGGCACCATATGCTGTATCATATGTTTATCTTTATATTTGTTTGTGATTTCAGGCCAGAGAAGACGTTATCTGCATGCTAAAGTCCAAACAGTCTGTCCCAGAGGACCTTGAATCACGTTATGGTTCTGCGGCCCCTGGTTCGGCCCTCACAGCCCTGCAGAGGGACGGCTTCATCACTGGCAGCGAGCCGCACGACCGCAGTGTTTACCAAAAGCCAATGGTTGAGGTCAGTTAGCAACTGTCAGTCACAGCAGTTTCATGTTGAAAATTGGTTCTGTAAATATTTCATTGGTTAGTTTAATGTGACATTCCTGAACAGGTTATTGCTGCAAAGTGTTGAAATGTTACACCAGAGCAAAGAAAGTTCACTTCTTATGTGTCCTTGGTTCTTGCATGCGTTTGTGTTCTTCCTCCTGTGTGGCTGTGATTGTGTGCCTTTGCTCTTTCCCAGCTGGAGCGTCTGCAGGAGAAGCACAAGGACACGTATCGTAGGATGCTGGGTCAGTTGCTGCTCGCCGAAAAATGCCACCGCCGCACCGTCCACGAGCTGGAAACAAAGGAACGCAAGCACGTAGACTACATGAACAAGAGCGATGACTTCACCAACCTTCTGGAGCAGGAGAGAGAACGGTGAGGAGGAGAGGAAGGAGGGACCTGAGGCATGAAATTGCCACATTTTTAACACATCCAAGTATTGTTTTTAGTTTTTATTTTAAAGCCATCTCCCAACGACTACAGGTAGGCTATGTACAGAAAGTAGCAGTTTTGTAATATTGACATACATTTTCATCATGAATTGTGTTTATATAAGGTGGAAATGATAACATTGAGTTCCTATACAACGTAAGTGGTGCCGTAAGGCAATATTTGATGTCAGTAACTATTTGCTAAAGTAAAACAAGCAGTATTGCATATCGAGAATTTGTTGGAAAAAAGAGAAGTGGATGGAGCAATGGTGAAAGTAAAACAGGGGTCAGCAGTGGGGGAGGCGTAGAGTGGCCAGAGAGAGAGAACATGAATTAGAAAGCCAACAAGGTTTCTAAAACCAGTGTGGAACATATAACGTGTGAGAGGTGAGAGAATCAAGGGAGAAAGAGTGGCAAAGGAATGCATGGACATCTGAGAATGTGTGAAAGACGGCCTCATCAGCCAAGTGAATAACGTTAGTGGGAATTGGAGAGGAGATGGGGGGAGCTGGCTACTAAAGTGATAACCTCACATACCTTCATTTGACAGGGAGAGGTTTACGAAGCATGTGGAAGGGAAGGGGGGGGGGGGGGGGGGGGGGGGGGGGGGGG